CGCGCCCTCCGCGGCATTCCCGACTGTCGCCACGATGCTGTTGCCAGGGGGGCACGGAATTTCGGCCGCATCTTCCGAGTCAAGAACGAGACCGCCCCCGGGACGCTGATAGGAGTGAGGGGTTGTAGGAACGCCTGCTTGGTTGTCTCCTGGAGGGGAAGGCACCGGCGCGCTGTGGCTGACGACCGCCTGTTCGGTCTGTAGCTCTCCCAGGGGACTACTGCAGCTGGAGGCCGCACGTTCCAGTGTGAACTCCTGACTGTCTATGCTGCGAGGAAGCTCGAGATATCCTCCATCATCCGCTCGGGGAGGCGTCGTGGACCTCCATTCGGGAGGCGGCTGGTCTCCGAGCGCGGGCGCGCCCTCTGCGGCATTCCCGACTGTCGCCACGATGCTGTTGCCAGGGGGGGACGTAATTTCGGCCACATCTTCCGCCTCAGCAACGAGACCGCCCTCGGGACTCTGATAGGATTGAGGGTCTGTATGAACGCCTGCTTGGTTGTTTCCTGGGCGGGAAGGCACCGGCGCGCTGTGGCTGACGACCGCCTGTTCGGTTTGTGGCTCTCCCAGGGGACTATTGCAGCTGAAGGCCGCACGTTCCTGTGTGAACTCCTGACTCTCTATGCTGCGAGGAGGCTCGAAATATCCTCCATCATCCGCTCGGGGAGGCGTCGTGGACCTCCTTTCGGGAGCAGGCCGGTCTCCGAGCGCAGGCGCGCCCTCTGCGGCATTCCCGACTGTCGCAACGATGCTGTTGCCAGGGGGGCGCGCCATTTCGGCCGCATCTTCCGCCTCAACAACGAGACCGCCCCCGGGACGCTGATGGGAATGAGGGGCTGTAGGAACGCCTGCTTGGTCATTTCTTGGAGGGGAAGGCACCGGCGCGCTGTGGCTGACGACCGCCTGTTCGGGCCGTAGCACTCCCAGGGGACTACTGCAGCTGAAGGCCGCACGTTCCAGCGTGAACTCCTGACCCTCGATGTTGCGAGGAGGCTCGAGGTATCCTCCAACATCCGCTCGGGGAGGCGCCGTGGACCTCTTCTCGGGAAGAGGCTGGTCTCCGGCCGCGGGCGCTCCCTCAGCAGCACTCCCACCTGTCGCCGCGATGCTGTTGCCAGGGGGGGAGCAATGGGATATGAGGTGGTGGCCGACAGCCCCGGCGACTGGCAATGTGATAGCTTGAGCTCGTGCCACAACAGCTTGAGCCACAACCGCTTGAGCCTCAACAACAAAACCGCCCCCAGGACGCTGATAGGAGTGAGGGGCTGTGGGAACGCCTGCTTGGTTGTCTCCTGGGCGGGAAGGCACCGGCGCGCTGTGGCTGACGACCGCCCGTTCGGTTTGTAGCTCTCCCAGGGGACTACTGCAGCTGAAGGCCGCACGTTCCAGTGTGAACTCCTGACTTTCTATGCTGCGAGGAGGCTCGAGATATCCTCCATCATCCGCTCGGGGAGGCGTCGTGGACCTCCTTTCGGGAGCAGGCCGGTCTCCGAGCGCGGGCGCGCCCTCTGCGGCATTCCCGACTGTCGCCACGATTCTGCTGCCAGAGGGAGACGCAATTTCGGCCGCATCTTCCGCCTCAAGAACGAGACCGCCCCCGGGGCGCTGATAGGAGTGAGGGGCTGTAGGAACGCCTGCTTGGTTGTCTCCTGGGCGGGTAGGCACCGGCGCGCTGTGGTTGACGACCGCCTGTTCGGTCCGTAGCTCCCCCAGGGGACTACTGCAGCTGAAGGCCGCAGTGTGAACTCCTGACTCTCTATGCTGCGTGGAGGCTCGAGATACCCTCCATCCACCGGTCGGGAAGGCGTCGTGAACCTGATGTCGGGAGGAGGCCGGTCTCCGACCGCAGGCGCGCCCTCCGCGGAGCCACCACCTGTCACCGTGACGCTGCTACTAGGAATGGGCGCGCTGTCGGGGGCATATTCGGCCTCCACCAAGACTCTGTGCCTGGGGCGCTGATAGGAATGAGGAGCTGTAGGAACGCCTGTCTGCCTGTCTCTGACAGAAGGAAGAACCGACCCGCTGCGGCTGACCACCGCGTGCTCTGTCTGTAACTCTCCCTGGCGACTGATGCAGCTCACGGCCGCTGGTTGGCGACTGTCTTCAGGCGAAACGCCGCCTCCAGATTTGCAGCAATCGTCAACCTCAGATTTACGATTGTCTTCAAGAGGGTCGGTTCTGCGTCCAGGGGGCGCGCTCGCGACGGCGTCCGCCGCGTGCCCAGCAGCCCGGGCCAAGGCCGCGACGGCCGTCCAGAGGGGGGCCTGCGCAGCCTTTGCGGCGGCAGCGGCGCAGGCGCGCGCGGCGGCGGCGGCGGCGGCTGCGTCGGGCGTAGCACTGGCGCCGACTGCGCGGACGCTTGGGGCGTCAGCGGCGTCGGCGGCGAAGGCGGCGCGGGGCGCGGGCCGCCGGGCACGGACGGCGCCGACTCGCCCGAGGGCGTCGGCTGCGTCCGCGGCCCTGGTTGGTGCGCGCGCGTGGGCCGCCGCAGCCGCGTCGGCCCCCCAGAAGGCGCTGGCGGCGGAGGCCGCGGCGGGGCAGCCATCGCCAGCGGCGCCAGCGGCGTTGGCGGCGCCAACGGCGGCGGACGCGCCCAAGGGAGAGGACGCCTCCGACGCGTTGGCAGCGCCAACCGCGTTGGCCGCGCTGGCGAGCCCGGGGGGGCGGCCGCCGGCCGCGGCAGCAGCGTCCAGGCGGCGCTGATTCACAGCGCGCCCTTGTCGGCTCCGCCGCGCCGCCGCAGTGCCCATCGCCCGGGGCTGAGCGCCAAACACGCATGGGGGGGGCGCGCCGTCTTGACTGCCAGGATTACCAGGGTTGCGACTGAAGGTCGCCCTTTTACTCTGCACTGCCAGGCATCTGCTTGGGACCCCGCTACTTCCTCGACTGAAGGCCGAATGTTTACTCGTGCTGTCGCCAGGAAACACGGGATTACTCGGCGAATCCGAGGTGGGATTGATCGGCATGCTGGGGGCTGGATCTGCCTGAGATACTGACTGCGCTGCACGGTAACGACCCAGGGGGCAGCTGAAGGCTGCGCTTCCGGTGAAAGAATCCTCCAGATAGTCGTCAGTCGCTCTGGTCACCACGGCTGGGGCCGCCTCGAAATTCTGAGTTCCTGGTCCCCTGAGGCTGGTGCTGCTGCAGCTGCTTCGGCTGCTGTTGCTGCCGCTGCTGCCCTGCTGGTGCGTCTGCCAGCTGGGGGCATGTTGGTGCCGTGGCCCGCGCGGCAGCGCGGGCCGCGGCGGTCGCGGCGCCGGCCGCGTGGCCCGCGGCCGCAGCGGCGGCCGCCTCCGCCGCGGCCGCGGCGGCGGCGGCGGCCGCCGCGGCGCTGGCGGCTGCAGGGGCGGCGGCGGCGGCCGCCGGCCGCCGAGCCCGCGGAGCAGGCCCCAGCGGCGCCCGCGGCGCCGGCGGCGCCCCCGGAGCCAGCGGCCACGCCGGCGGCGGTGGCGCCAGCGCCGCGCCCGGCGCCAGCGGCGCCTGCGGCGCCAGCGGCGTCGGCGGCGCCCGCGGCGCCACAGGCGGCGGCGGCGCCCGCGGAGCCGACGGCGCCGCCGGCGCAGGGGCCGCCAGCGACGCCGGCGGCGCCCGGCGGCCGCAGAGGCGGCCGCCGCCGCGGCCGAGGCGGCGGCGCCGCGGCGGCAGCGGCCGCGGCGGGCGGCACAAGCCGCAGCAGAGGGCGGCCCGCGGCGGGCCGCGCAGCCAGGCAGCCAGCAGGGGGCGGCAGCCCCGGCGGCGGCCGGCGGGCCGCGCGGCCGCGCTGTCAGCAGGGGCCGCGGCGGCGGCCGCGGCGGCGGCCCCGGCCGAGCAGCCGGCCGCCGCGGCGGGGGCGGCGCAGGCGGCAGCCATGTGCAGCGGCAGGCCAGGCGGCGCCGCGGCGGCCACGGCAGCCGCGCCGGCGGCGCCAGCGCGGCGCGCGGCCGCCGCCCGCCGCAGCTGCCGCCGGCAAGCCGCGCGCGCCGACGGCGACATCAAAGCGAGGCTTGCGACGCAGAGACCCACGGCCGCGCGAGGGCTCACCGTGGGGGTCGTGCGAGAAGAAAGAAAGCCTGCTGCAGGCGCGCACGCCTCGGGCCAGCCCCTCGGCAGCAGACAAGCACGAAGCCGCAGGGCGACGGTTTCGTACTTGAGCCAGAGCGGGGGATCCGCAAAGCGTCAACAATTCTGCAAAGCTGGTGGGGATCCGCAAAGCGTCAACAATTCTGAGGAATGATGGCCGTGTCGTGTGTGCGTGCGTGCGTGTGTGTGTGTGTATGTATGTGTGTGTATGTGTATGTGTGTGTGTGTGTGTGTGTGTTTGTGTGTGTGTGTGCGCTCGGCCTCGCACTGGCTGGCCCCCCCGCCTCCCCCCCTTTGCAGCTGCGTGCTGCCGCCTTGGCATCGGCCGTCCCTTCCGTCACTCTTCGCTGGTCGTACTGCGCCTCCACTTTGCGGGGCTTGGCCCCTTCCACTCACTGCGCCCTCGCTGCCCATTCCCAGGTGTGCGCATGGCTTGGTCGACCCGATGCGGGTCCCTGCGCGCTCTGAGCGGCCCGCTGCGCGCGCGCGCCCACCCGTTCGGTGACTTTCCCCGCCTCGACGCTGCGCGCGAGGCCGCGACCGCAAGAAAGTGCGTGTGTGTAGGTGGGCTTGCGCTTATGTTTTTTTTTTTTTTGTGTGTGTGTGTGTGTGTTGTGTGTGTGTGTGTGTGTGTCTGTTGGTGTGTCTGTATGTGTGTCTGTGTGTGTGTCCGTGTCTGTGTGCGTGTGTGTGTGTGTGTGTGTGCGTTTGTGTGTGCACGTGCTAGCGGTGGCAACCGGTGACGGCGATAAAGAGAAGTAGCGCAGCGAGTGCGGCGAGTGCTCGCTGTGACGGGAACTGGCCCCCTGGACTGCATTGGGGAGCCAACTCAACCAGCCTCGCCGAGTGAAGTCAAGGTTGCGGCCCACCGCAAATGCTAGAACGCCCGGGCATCTTCCCCCTTCGCCCTCGCCCCCCTCCCTCTATTTTTTTATTTTTTACCCTGGGACTCCTCCTCCCGCCAGCTGCGACCAGACGCTGGGGAAGCAAGATGCCTGCGATCGCCTCAAGCTCGAAGGCCTTCCGGACCCTCGCCCAGGCAACGGATTGTTTCAAAACCTCATAGTCGTTATTCGCGGCAGGGCACTGCGTGAAGCTATCCAGACGAGGAAGAGGCGGCACAGCCAGATTTTCATAACAAAAAAATCCATGGCGCGCTGCATCACGACTGAAGCCCGAACCACAAAGCGACGCGAGGTAAGGGCAACTGCATGCGTCGAAACTCGCGCGTTGACAGTTCAGCCATCATTATTGTTGATTCTAAAGGGAACGGCCATCCCGCTATTCGGCGAGTTGGTCATAGCCCTCGCGCGGCTCTCGCTCTCGGGCATTCACGCCGCAGGGCGGGTCCTCGTAGAATCCGCCCAGGCTGAGTTCCAGATCATCCGACAAGCTCAGGGCCTCCATCCAGTCGCTTCGGCTCCGTCCGAAGAGTAGATTGGGCCAACCTGCCGGCGTCTCCTGGGCCCTAGCCACGAACCTCGTCAACGCCCTGAAGATCCAAAGCTTCCCTGCGCAATCGCTCGCGCTCTCCGCGCAACTCCGCCAGCCTCTGGTTCGCCACCCGCGCAAGAGCCCAATGCCCGGAGGCCGTGCGTAGCAGGGCACATGCCTCGTCCAGGGCACGAAGCGAAAGGGCGAAAAAGAGGTACACAAAGCTCGGCAGTAGCAGAAAGACGCCAACGCAGGCCATCGGCTTCCTCACGTGCACGAGCTCCGCAACCTTGCCCACGCGGAAGAGGCCCAGCACCAGGAACAAGCACTCCAGAAGCACAAAGTAGAGCACAGCGAGTATGCCCTTACCGCGGCCCGTGATCAAGTCAAAGTTCCGGCGCCGGCGGACGATTCCTCGTCCCTGGGCGTGTCCTGAACATCCGGCTCCCGTCCAAGCTGCTCCTTCAACGCCTTCCGGACGTCTTCGCTTGTGGCGTTGTTGGCGTCAGAGAACTGCTGCATGGCCTTGCTCCTCGCGATCGCGGCCCGGTGCTTTCGCCAAGCGAGGAGGAGCATGGGCGAGAAGAGGATGGCGCCAGGAGCTGCGAGGAGCAGTGGAAACACCGACACCAGCGCCCAGATTGCCGCATAGAGGATGTGACAGCATCCTGCTCGGCTGCAGCCCCGAACTTGCGCGTCTCGCAATCCCACGCGCACGAGCGACTCATGGTACTTGCAGACATCGTTGCCGAGATCTCTGTTGGCCTGCAGCGCCTTGGCAAGGGTGACGACCGCGCCCTGCCAAATGTCGATCCGCGGCAGTCTACTGATGTTCGAGTCGAACAGCGCCATGCGAGCGGCGACGACACCCTTGCGAAGATCAGGGGAATCTCCTTCGAGAGTTTTCGATTTGTCGGGGTCCGCGATCCTCGCCCTGCCACCCTCATTGACTGCATGCGCAGGTATGTCGTAGGCAACCGCGGCCAGCTTGCCCCTCAACTCGTTCATGACATCGTCAACAAGGTCGCAGTGCCTCTGGTTCCTCGTATCTCTGTAGATGTCCGGAGTGATTCCAAACCTGTCGAGACGCGCCGCGTCCACGATGACAGGCTTGCCTTAGCGCACCATGGCAGCGGAGCGCCAAAGCGTCCAATGCGTGTACACCACACCAGCAGGCACGATCCGCACAGAGAAACCCGGCCGGCCCTCGGCAAGCTCCTGCATCACTACACGTTCGGCGAAGACACCAGCGCCAGGCTTGAAAGGATTCAACTTGACTCGGCATCTACTGCCGCCCTCAGGCACCAGGGCGACACACTGGCCACGGCTCAGACCGTCCATCATCCGCTCGACGAGAGTCCTGTTCGCCTCCGCCTGCTGTGTGCCGCCGCCCTCGGTCTCCTGCAGGCGGACCACGGGGGCGGCCCCGATACGGTTCGCGATGCAACTCACGACGGACATCACTCCTTTCATCTTGAAGAGGAACGAAGCAGCACCGAATCTTATGTACCGCTTCTCCGTGGCCGAGAGGAGCAGCAGCATGTCGGCGAGGTCGCTGCTGTGGCTGAACGCGAGGATCGTCGGCACGCCTGGCTCTGGCAAATTCTCGGCGTCGACTGCGTGAACCTGGTCAAAGAACAGCGGCAGCAAGCGGCGGCAAGCATCCTTCAGCAAACAATAGACGACAGGTGCCCCATCGACGACACAAACCATTGCGTGCGCTCCTGCCGCGGTTGCAAACGAAGTTCTAGCCGGCACTATCTTTTGAGCCAAAATGGCTACGGATGTGTGTGTGTGTGTATGTGTGTGTGTGGGTGGGGGGGCGGATGCGGCGGCGTGCTCGCCATGACCATTCCTGACCTCCGCCCCACGCCCAGCCTCCTAGCGCCGGGGCGTCTGCCCGTCATGCCGCCCGCCCCCTCGCCAGGGTAGGGCCCTCGGCCGTGCCCCCCATGGAGCCCGGGGATCGCCTCTCTCTCTCTCTCTCTCTCTCTCTCTCTGTTCGACACCGGAGCCGCGTGCACCGCCCGTCCTCGCGCCCGAAAGGATGGGCGGCCCAGCGGGCCCTCGCCAATCCGGCCGCACCGCGACGAAGACCGCCCTCTGGCGGCCCCGCCGGCCCCGCTGGCCGGCCCCATGGCATGGCCCATCGCTGGCCGAAGGCGCGCGCCCGGCGGGTCGCCAGGGCCCTCCGCAGCCTCCCAGCCAACGCACGGCGCCCCCGGCACCGGAGCACGGCGGCTCGCCCCCGCCTCTCGACCGCGCCGCCATCTGCAGCCTCGACGGCACCAACTGGTTGTGGGCATACCTCTGACGACCCTTCCGCCCCTGACGACGGCGACGGTTCTCGTGGCGAGGAGCGGCAGCGCAGCGCGGTCCTCACCCCGCCTCGGCTCCTCCCGCCCGGCTGCTGGCCCCAGCCGAATTAACGGAGGTTGAGAGCGCCTTCCGCACAGCCTTCGACGAGTGGCTGGAGTCGTCCGGCCGCCAGTGACTGAGGGTGCGCCCCTTCTTGCTCCCTGCCCCTGCTGCCTCGAGCGCAGAGCTGCCCGCTCCCAGCGCGGGGCCTCGAGCCCACCACTGCCTGCCTCTGCACCTGCGGGCCGCCCCCCCCCGCCACCCGTGAGCGGTTGTGGCATCTACCTCCTGGAACTTAGATTCGGTTGCACTTGCTGCGGCCGCTCGCCAGAGCGGTCTTCCACGGCTCGCCGATTCGGGCGCCCTCGGCAAGCAGCCGCCACTCATGCACACTATACTGACATCGTGGTGGCCTTCGCCGAGAGGTGCCACCTGTGCCCGCGCCGCTCCTGCACGAGCAAGGGTGGCCACGATTGAGCTGTGCCCCGCAGGCGCAAGCCCAGCTGCGGTGGGTCCTGCGAGGAGGTCCGCCGGGCGCCCCTCCGTGGCCCCTGCTGCCTCGGGCGCGGCTCCGCCCGCCCTCGGCGCGCGGCGCCGCTCCGCGGCGACCCTCACTGGGCCCTCGGCCCCGCCCTCTTCCGCCGCCGCCGCCCGCCCCCCCCCCGTCTGCCGCCTCGTGCCCCGGCTTGGCCTCGCTCGCCCCCGGCTGCCACTTCGCGGCCCGCCTCTCCTCGCCCCTGGCCCTGGTCTTGCCGGGCCGGCAGAGGGGGCTTCTCCCTGCCATGCCCGCGCGGCTCCTGGGTGATCCTCCGGGGGCCCCTCGGCGTCCATCCTCCGTCGCCTGCCTCGCCTGCGGCTCTGGCCGTGCTCACCCCCAGCTCGCCCTGGACTTGCCCAGGCAACTGGGCGACGCGGCGCCGCTGTCGCCATCACGCTGCTCCGACTGACGCGGTCCCTGTGCGGTCCGCCGGGAGCTCCTCGGTGTCGACCCCGCGTCGCTGTATACCGTCCGAGTTGGCCGCTCGCGTTCGGCCCCGCCCTGGCCCTGCTGGACTCCCCGGCGGCGCTGCGCGGGTCTGCCGCTTCCTGTCCTCTCGCCCCCCCCCCCCCGCGGCCCTCGCCTCCTGTGGCCAGGCCTCCGCGTGCGCGCCGCGCCCGATCCGCTGGGCTCTCGGCGTCGGCCGCTGCCCGGGACGGGTCCTCCTCTTGGGGGTCGCTCCTGGGCCCCCGCGGCCCGCTGCCCTCCTCCCCCGGGCCTCTCGGCATCTCTGCCCTGCAGGCTCGCCGCAGTTTTCCCAGCCCTTGGCCGCCGCTGCCGGTCTGCCGTTCGCGTCTCGCCCTCCCGGGCCTCACCCGCGTCGGCGACCTACCAGACCACCCCAACCCAACCCGAAGACCCGACTTTCGGGTTGGGGGAGGTGCGGGTTCCATAGGTGTTTTCTCGATGTTCCCCGACCCCCCCCCACTGGAAATGGATGTCAATTTGAGGCCTTCGGGTTGGGTTGGGGTGGTTTGGTGGGTGGAGGGGGAGGAGAAGAAGGAGCAAAAGGAGAAGAGAGAAAAAGGAGCAAAAGGGGGAGGAGGAGGAGGAGGAGGAGGAGGAGGAGGAGGAGGAGGAGGAGGTGGAGGAGAGGAAGCGAGATCGTCCTCCCCCCTCCTCCCCCCCCCTCCCTCCCCCCTCCCCCTCCTCCTCCTCCTCCTCCTCCTCCTCCTTCCCTCCTCCTCCTCCTCCTCCTCCTCCTCCTCCTCCTCCTCCTCCTCCTCCTACTCCCTCCTCCTCCTCCTCCTCCTCCTCCGTCCCTCACTCCGGCGAAAGGTCACTCTGACGTGTAGTCGACCTCGCCCCGCCCCGCCCCGCCCCGCCTCTCCCCAGCCAACTGGCCTCTCCAGCGCGCTGCGGCTTTTCCGGCTCTGGCCGCCCGCCGCTGGCTTTCTGCCGCGGCTCTTCGCCCGCCTGACTCCGATGATGCCTTATGTCGGGCGTGTCCCCTTACAGGGGGATGTATGACACAAAAAAAACCCAAATACCTCCTAAAGGTCAACAAATACTCAAAAATTACGCTACCGAGGAACCCCACATATTTAATTTAAATCTTAGGTGTTCGCTTATGTATATAATATATATGCACAATCCTGCGTTCTGGGCCCTCGTCGCGAATGTTCCCTGCTAGGCTTTGCGCCAGTGTCGTGGATAGCGGCCGAGCTGAGAGACCACCCCCTGCGCACCCCCTGTGGTGTCGAGAAAGTGCCACGCCTGCTAGCCTTTGCGCCAGTGTCGTGGATAGCGGCCGAGCTGAGAGACCACCCCCTGCGCACCCCCTGTGGTGTCGAGAAAGTGCCACGCCTGCTAGCCTTTGCGCCAGTGTCGTGGATAGCGGCCGAGCTGAGAGACCACCCCCTGCGCACCCCCTGTGGTGTCGAGAAAGTGCCACGGCTGCAAAGCTTTGCGCCAGTGTCGTGGATAGCGGCCGAGCTGAGAGACCACCCCCTGCCCACCCCCTTTGGTGTCGAGAAAGTGCCACGCCTGCTAGGCTTTGCGCCAGTGTCGTGGATGGCGGCCGAGCTGAGAGACCACCCCCTGCGCACCCCCTGTGGTGTCGAGAAAGTGCTACGCCTACTAGGCTTTGCGACAGTGTCGTGGATAGCGGCCGAGCTGAGAGACCACCCCCTGCGCACCTCGTGTGGTGTCGAGAAAGTGCCACGCCTGCTAGGCTTTGCGCCAGTGTCGTGGATAGCGGCCGAGCTGAGAGACCACCCCCTGCGCACCTCGTGTGGTGTCGAGAAAGTGCCACGCCTGCTAGGCTTTGCGCCAGTGTCGTGGATAGCGGCCGAGCTGAGAGACCACCCCCTGCGCACCCCCTGTGGTGTCGAGAAAGTGCCACGCCTGCTAGGCTTTGCGCCAGTGTCGTGGATAGCGGCCGAGCTGAGAGACCACCCCCTGCCCACCCCCTTTGGTGTCGAGAAAGTGCCACGCCTGCTAGGCTTTGCGCCAGTGTCGTGGATAGCGGCCGAGCTGAGAGACCACCCCCTGCGCACCCCCTGTGGTGTCGCGAAAGTGCCACGCCTGCTAGCCTTTGCGCCAGTGTCGTGGATAGCGGCCGAGCTGAGAGACCACCCCCTGCGCACCCCCTGTGGTGTCGAGAAAGTGCCACGCCTGCTAGGCTTTGCGCCAGTGTCGTGGATAGCGGCCGAGCTGAGAGACCACCCCCTGCGCACCCCCTGTGGTGTCGAGAAAGTGCCACGCCTGCTAGAGATAAGTGCCACGCCTGCTAGCCTGCTTTTGCGCCAGTGTCGTGGATAGAGCTGAGAGACCACCCCTGCGCACCCCCTGTGGTGTCGAGAAAGTGCCACGCCTGCTAGCCTTTGCGCCAGTGTCGTGGATAGCGGCCGAGCTGAGAGACCACCCCCTGCGCACCCCCTGTGGTGTCGAGAAAGTGCCACGCCTGCTAGGCCTTTGCGCCAGTGTCGTGGATAGCGGCCGAGCTGAGAGACCACCCCCTGCGCACCCCCTGTGGTGTCGAGAGAGTGCCACGCCTGCTAGGCTTTGCGCCAGTGTCGTGAATAGCGGCCGAGCTGAGAGACCACCCCCTGCGCACCCCCTGTGGTGTCGAGAAAGTGCCACGCCTGCTAGCCTTTGCGCCAGTGTCGTGGATAGCGGCCGAGCTGAGAGACCACCCCCTGCGCACCCCCTGTGGTGTCGAGAAAGTGCCACGCCTGCTAGGCTTTGCGCCAGTGTCGTGGATAGCGGCCGAGCTGAGAGACCACCCCCTGCGCACCCCCTGTGGTGTCGAGAAAGTGCCACGCCTGCTAGGCTTTGCGCCAGTGTCGTGGATAGCGGCCGAGCTGAGAGACCACCCCCTGCGCACCCCCTGTGGTGTCGAGAAAGTGCCACGCCTGCTAGGCTTTGCGCCAGTGTCGTGGATAGCGGCCGAGCTGAGAGACCACCCCCTGCGCACCCCCTGTGGTGTCGAGAAAGTGCCACGCCTGCTAGGCTTTGCGCCAGTGTCGTGGATAGCGGCCGAGCTGAGAGACCACCCCCTGCGCACCCCCTGTGGTGTCGCGAAAGTGCCACGCCTGCTAGCCTTTGCGCCAGTGTCGTGGATAGCGGCCGAGCTGAGAGACCACCCCCTGCGCACCCCCTGTGGTGTCGAGAAAGTGCCACGCCTGCTAGGCTTTGCGCCAGTGTCGTGGATAGCGGCCGAGCTGAGAGACCACCCCCTGCGCACCCCCTGTGGTGTCGCGACCCACGCCTGCTAGGCTTTGCGCCAGTGTCGTGGATAGCGGCCGAGCTGAGAGACCACCCCCTGCCCACCCCCTTTGGTGTCGAGAAAGTGCCACGCCTGCTAGGCTTTGCGCCAGTGTCGTGGATAGGGACCGCGGTGAGAGACCACCCCCTGCGCACCCCCTGTGGTGTCGAGAAAGTGCCACGCCTGCTAGGCTTTGCGCCAGTGTCGTGGATAGCGGCCGAGCTGAGAGACCACCCCCTGCGCACCCCCTGTGGTGTCGAGAAGGTGCCACGCCTGCTAGCCTTTGCGCCAGTGTCGTGGATAGCGGCCGAGCTGAGAGACCACCCCCTGCCCACCCCCTTTGGTGTCGAGAGAGTGCCACGCCTGCTAGGCTTTGCGCCAGTGTCGTGGATAGCGGCCGAGCTGAGAGACCAACCCCTGCGCACCCCCTGTGGTGTCGAGAAAGTGCCACGAGCTGTGCTGTGCTGAGCTGAGCCGTGCTGGGCTGTGCTGAGCTGTGCTGAGCTGTGCTGAGCTGTGCTGTGTGCTGAGCTGAGCTGAGCTGTGTGCTGTGCTGAGCTGAGCTGTGCTGTGCTGTGCTGTGCTGTGATGTGCTGTGCTGTGCTGAGCTGTGCTGTGCGAGGAGTGAGGTGTGTGTCGCGGGTGCGGCGCGGCAGGGAAGAAAACCAGAACCCCACGAAGCATGTGGGGAAATACTTCCCAGACTATTTTTGGAGTCTTATTGGACTATGTTTGGGGTATTTTTAATTCTTCGTCGAAATTCCCCCTGTAGGGGGACAGGCCCGACTTAAATGTGGCCCCGCTTGCGCTGCCGCGCGCCGGTCTTTACGCCCGCCTCCCTGGCGCGGCGCCGCCCTGCTGCTGCCCCGCTCCGCTCCGCCGCCCGCGGCCACGAAGCGCGCCCGACGCGCTGGCGAGTCGCCGCGCCGCTACGGCCGGAAAGTGTATATCCGCCGGCCCCCTTGTGGGGCCACCAGGCTGTAGGCCGAATGTTCGCAGTTTCCTGTAATTGCCAGTTGCAGCTTCCAGTTTCCACTGTTACAGTTCTGCTTCTTGCTGCTTACTGTTCCTTGTGGATGGACCGCGCGAAGGGAGGAGGCCCAAACGGGCAGGTTTAGCACGCCCTGAGCGTATGCTCTGAATTGCTGGGGTGGGTAAAAAATTAACACCTCTCACGCAGATCGGCCGGGTCAGGGTCCAAGAACACAGTGGGTTTGCCACATTTCTGAAATTCGCTGGCACCCCTCACGCAGATCGGCGGGGTCAGGGTCCAAAAACATATGGGATTTGCCATATTTCTATAATTTGCTGGCACCCCTCACGCAGATCGGCGGGGTCAGGGTCCAAAAACGCATAGCATTCGCAAAATTTCTGACATTCGGTGGCACCCCTCAAGCAGATCGGCGGGGTCAGGGTGCAAAAACACAAAGGATTTGCCACATTTCTGAAATTCGCTGGCACCTCTCACGCAGATCGGCGGGGTTAGGGTCCAAAAGCACATCGGATTTGCCACATTTCTGAAATCCGGTGGCACCCCTCACGCAAATCGGCGGGGTCAGGGTCCAAAAACACATGAGATTTGCCACATGTCTGAAATTCGATGGCACCCCTCACGCAGATCGGCGGGGTCAGGGTCCGAAAACCCAGGGGGTTTTCAACATTCCTGAAACCTGGTGGCACCCCTCAAGCAGATCGACAGGGTCAGGGTGCAAAAACATAGGATTTGCCACATTTCTGAAATTCGGTGGCACCTCTCACGCAGATTCGTAGGGTCAGGGTCGAAAAACAAACAGGTCCCGAAACTGCTTCACGGCGGCGCCCAGACCTCATGATTTAGCCTTTGCATCTCCCATTATCCGAGACAGGGGGCCGGCGGCATGGGGCGAAGCCCTTACGGGTATGTACATGTATATATATATATATATATATACATAAATGTATATATATACATATAAACATAGATGTATACACATATACACATATGTGTATAACTATATGTATATGTACATATACGTATAGACGTGTGTGTGTGTGTGTGCGTGCGTGCGTGCGTGCGTGCGTGAGTGCGTGCGTGCGTGCGTGCGTGCGTGCGTGCGCGCGCGCGTGCGCGTGCGTGCGTGCGTGCGTGTGTGTGTGTGTGTGGTGTGTGTGTGTGTGTGCGTGTGTTTGTGTGCGTGCGTGCGTGCGTGCGTGCGTGGTGTGTGTGGTGTGTGTGTGTGTGTGTGTGTGTTTGTGTGTGTGTGTGTGCGTGCGTGCGTGTGTGTGTGTGTGTGTGTGTGTGTGTGTGTGTGTGTGCGTGCGTGCGTGCGTGCGTGCGTGCGTGTGTGTGTGTGTCTGTGTGTGTGCGTGTTTGGGTGCTTGCCCGCCCGCCGCTGGGCTTGGGCGCCCGAGTTATCCGGGGTAACTCGGGTCAGGGGTAACTCGGGCTTGGATTCCCGAAACAGGAACCCGAGTTAGCCCTGACCCGAGTTACCCCTGATGATTCGGGGCTCTGGACGCCCGAGTTATCCGGGGTAACTCGGGTCCGGGGTAACTCGGGTTTGGATTCCCGAGAAACGAACCCGAGTTATCCCAGACCCGAGTTACCCCTGATGATTCGCGGCTCTGATGGGTGTTTGGGTGCTTGCCCGCCCGCCGCTGGGCTGCCTTCCACCCCGCCGCGCATGCCTCCCTCGCTTGGCTTGCGAACCGCCCGCGGTGCTCCCCGGGGGAGCTGCCCGACGCGGCCCTGTCGCCCTGCCCGCGGCGCTTGCCGCGGGCCTCCGCCCCCTGCGGCCGCCAATTTTTGGCGGCCGCTGCCCCGCCGCGGCTCCGCCCCTGCCTGCCCCGCCACCGCCTGGTGCCCGCCCGCTTGGCGGCGCTGCCCCGTCGACGGCGCCCCCGCGCCGCAGCCCGCCGCCCGCCGCGCCTCGCCGCCGCCCCCCCCTCCTTTACTTTTGGGCGGCGCGCGCGCGGCTGGCGGTCACTTTCGAACGGCTGGCGGCTTGGCCCGGCCCGCGACGCTCAAAAGTGTGTGTGTGTGTGTGTCTTGAGGCGATGTCCGACCGACTTGCCAAGGACTGGTCCATCGGGCGCCCGTCAGGGATATCTTTGAATTGTGGCGTGGGCTGTAGGCCGGATGAGCTTGGAGCAGGCGTTGGCTGTAGGGCGGGGGAGCGACCATGATGTTCGGAAGGTGTGCGCTCCTCGTCCAGCCTTCGGGACTGTGATGCTTGGGACTGTGATGCTTTGTGCAGCTGCTCCTGCTGCTTCATTTGTCGCTGTCGGCATACGTCTAACCTTTTTCCATCCCTGTGCATGTCGCCCCTTCTTGAAAAATAAGGGTGGCGTCTGTGAAACCCCGGCAATGCTGACGTTTATGACGCGGCCTCGATATCGGCGCCCGGGTCTGCGTACAACGCACTGGGCGTTGACGTGCCGCGCGAAGGCAGACGGATGACATCGCCGACGCGGCATTCTTCGGCGCAGTGCGCGCCATGATCTTCGTGGCGCTCGGGCACGATTCGAATCCGCGTGGTCTGCGCCGGCTGGCTTTTTCTTTTCTTTCGCGAGTTTGCCGCCTCGGCCCTCCCGGCCTCGCGGGTCTCTCCCGGCGGACAGGGGGAGACTACGTAACAGTGCTTTCATAATACGGTGGACCGCCGGAGGCTCAGCACCCTCGACCTGCACGTCCGCACAGAGCCTCCGGCGGTGGACCGCCGGAGGCTCTGCACCCTCGACAGCACCTGGCTGCGTGTGTGCGAGTGGGCAGAACTTCTGGACGTCGGCGTTGTTCGCAGAGACGAGCGCGGGGAACACACGGGGGTTTGGGGGCCCCTCGAGGGCCCCGGAGCGGGCCGACCTCGGTGCGTTCCCCCGGAGGGTCGACCCCAGCGTCCCGAAGGCTGTGGGGAAGCCGCTGGGAAATATGGCCAGCGCATACTTGCCATGTGGCGTTTCTCCTCCTACTCCTCCTCCTCCTCCCCCTCCTCCTCCTCCTCCCCCTCCTCCTCCTCCTCCTCCTCCTCCTCCTCCTCCTCCTCCTCCTCCTCCTCCTCCTCCTCCTCCTCCTCCTCCCCCTCCTGGTCGTCGGTCTTTCAGGGTCGGCGGCACCGGCCGTCAGGCCTTCACAATATGGCCAGCGCACATTTTCCATGCCGCGTTTAGCCACTACTAAGATTTATGAACATGTTGCCTCAGGATGCCTGGGCCAACTTCGGGCCAACATATGTATCAAGCGAGGGGCCAGACTTGGGTGCACTGCACCGTGGCATCACCAACTATCGATTTCCTAAGCAGATGCGGATCAGGTTCTTCATGCTCGGCGCTAGTGTGTCTCTGTTGACTGACACGCGGTAAATGATTTTGCCCTGGTTCGCTTATACCCGAAAACATATCGCATAGCCCAGTAGGACGGCAACATATTTCTGTAAAACAAAAACCCGCCGTAAGCCATCCTCTGCATCCGCCTGATTCTTCCCTCTCTCCATCCCCTTATCTCATGTTGCATGTGTTTCGCTACAACGTCAGGGCACTGACAACGATTGAGGGATGCAAGCCTCGAGGATTCGCGAAAGGCCGTTGTCGATGTCGGCCTGTGCCCTCATCTCCACCTCAGGGAACAATTCGTTGCGGAATGGGGGTTGGAGCGGGACAACTAGCGCCCGGAGTGAGCGAACGAATAATACAGCTGCAGGCACCTACTTATCATTGAAACGGTTGCCAGGTGCAACATCAGTGATGTGATGAAGTCCGAGTTTTGTAGTCTAGGAGCAAGCGATGAAGCACGCAGTTCGCAAATACATGCGCGTGCAATATACAGAGAAGCGAGCGTCCGAACAATCACGCGAACACGATGGTTACGACATGGTGCCGTACACATGCCGGGCGTGGATATAGCAACACCTTTCAATCCAATTGATGTACGTGTGAACGCTCGGACGGTCCACATAACAACGCGTGTGAACACAAACAGCGAACTGCAATGCGACGCAAATGCTGGAACCATCGAGATCAAGCCCGCCCCGTGGCTTGCAGGCACGAAGGCGAGTCGCACCGGAGGGCACAAGGAAAACAAGCACGTGCCACAGTAAAATGCGCTCACGACTCTTTGTATTTTTTGGACGTCGCTGGTTCCACAAGAACTCGTTCGCACTCCTATGGGAGTCTTCCGCAGGGCTGGGGCCGTGCTGCGAATTTGACCCGGCAGGCTTCTGGCAGGACGCTCGTGAACCTGGCTCGGCCCGACGCCGAGAGGCACAGGCCTGAGGACGGGGACGAGAGGACGATGATGAGAAGGAGGAGGAGGAGAAAGAAGGAAACACGGAGCAGGAGGAGGAGGAGGAGGAGAAGGAAGAGAAGGAGGAGCAGGGGAGGAGGAGGAGAAAGACGGAAACGAGGAGGAGGAGCAGGAGGAGGAGGAGGAAGGAAGGCGGAGGAGGAGGAGGAAGATGAGGAGAGGAGGAGGAGAGGATGAGGAGGATGAGGAGGAGGAGGATGGAGGATGGAGGAGGAGGAGGAGGAGGAGGAGGAGGAGGAAGAGGAGGAGGAGGAGGAGGAGGAGGATGATGAGGGAGGAGAGGCGTCCGGGGGCCGGGTGGATCGTCCCGTCCTGGAGCTGCGCGCTCCGCGCTCCTAGTGACCAGCCGCCGACCGACCACTGGGGGGGGACAATTTCGTTAACAGCGCCCCCCGTGCTGATCACAGGACCAGGCGCGAAGATAGACAGGTGGGTGGGGATGGGAGGGGACATTCGTTGAATTGCCATTATCTAACTAAGTTTGGGGGGCGGTGGCCAGGATTTTATTGCATCCCGACCAGCGCCGGTTGGCTCGGGCCTGGGCCTGCCATCCCTGGGCGGGGCGGGGAACGCCCGCCTAGCATGCGCGGCGCGATGCATGTCCAGCGCCGAGCGATACAGGTATAGTCCTGCCCGCGTGCGCGCGCCTCTGCGTGGCCACTGGTGTCGAACGTCACCAACCCACCCAGCGGCCCTTGCCCATGGAAGGCCTCCGGCATCTGCTCACAACCTGGCAGGATGGGCGCCCGCGGAAGTGTGAGCGGGCAGCGTTCCAGAAGGATGTGGCGGCGCTCCTCGAGCTGCAGCCGGACAGGCCTTCCCGCCTCCAGCCTGTAGGAGGTGCAAGCATCCGGGCACTGGCTGACATCGCGGACGATTTCGGCGGCTTCCTGAAACAGGAGGCGATCCGAGGGATGCAGGGGGCGGGCAGGAACCAGCCCATTGCGTCACCCTACGCGGGTGGACCGCGGGTTGGCGACGCGGGGGCCGAGGAAATAGCCACAACACCACTTCAGACAGAAGGCCTCACGATTGGCTCCATGAACCCCGGGGTTGTTGGCCTTTCCACGCTGGGGACGAATGAACTTCTGTATTGGCGCCTCTGGGGGATATCGGCAGCGCTGCAGCAGAACAGAGTACACATATGTGTGATCCCTGGGGCACGTTTCCCACCTGGGGCACGACTGCCTGGCAACTTCCCGTACGCATGGGTCGGCAAGCAAACGTCATCATATGCATCGGTCGGCTTTTTCATTCTAGCGGAACTTCTGCCGGCAGTGAGCTCCATCGAAGAGCATTGCGGTGAGAGGTGGCATACCCTTAAAGTGCGGAGCCCGAGCGCCACCAATGATTGCCCCTGCACATATATTTATGGATTCTATGGCGCCCCGGGGGGCGACAGAGACACCTGGGGTGCTGTTCTTCGAGCCCGTGCGATTCTTTCAGCTGCTGATCCACATGCGTGGCACGTATTATTTGGCGACGGCAACGCGCATTGGGCCCGCTTCCTAGACCATGCGCCTGGCTGTAAATGTGCCCACTGCGTGCAGTCCACTGCGGACAGGGCCGTGCAGGCGATGGCCACCGAGGCTGGGTTGGAGCTACTGAACCCCTGTGTACCTACACACGTGTCAGGCACAACGGTTGACGTAGTCTTAGCCGCGAGCAATGTGCCCATGCAGGTCCGCGTCTTGGACATGTTCGTAGCGGCCTCGGACCACAAAATGGTATTCGGCAGTCTCCCGCATAATCTGACCCTTCGATATGACGCAGTTGTCGGCCGGGTGTCATGGGCATCAACGGAAGAATGGGATGCAGCACTTCATACAGTCGCACCTCTTTTGGATTTGCTTGCTGACGCAATAGGCCCGCTCCAGTGTGACCCTGTCCTGGCGCCGCCAATGCTGGGGGGGACCTCGTCGAAAAAAGGTGAGGCGCGGCATCTTGGACTGTGCTGCCTGGTGCCGCGACGTCGTGATGGTGGTTGCCGGCCACGCAGCAGGCGCGGTCAAGGTTGCGGCTCCGCGGCAGCGCGCGCCCAAACGAAGGGCGCCAGGGCCTTCCCCAGATGGTTTTGAAACTTTTGCGGAGTTTAAGCAAGCAGCTGAAGAGGCAACGTGGGCCACACGACGGGCGACGTTCCAAAAGTACATCGCGCTCCGAGAGAGTGACCCAGGTCGAGCGGAACGGTTCCTATCCTCTTGGTTCCGGGGGAGCGCGCCTGTCCAAGTAGCACTCGACGACCCGACGACGGGCGAGGCCATGTCGCAGGAGCAAATGGCGCAGGCACTCGTGGAAGACTTATTCACCCGCGCGCAGAACTCATTCCCGCAGAACGAGTCCGATGCTGCTGCCATGAATCGGGAAATCTGCGAGGTGCGGAGAACAGGCGCCACGCCGGAGGGCACGCTCACAACCACTAACAACGGTCCCTACACAGCAGAGGAGATCACCAATGCCATCTCCCGTCTGCGGGAGAGCGGGGGTGGTCTCGGCTGCGCCACGGCAGCCCTTAAATCGTCGGTCCTGGCAGGCAGGAGGGTGACAGCTTGCCTGGCCAACTTGTCCCACCATATGTGCCTCACATCGTCATTGTGGTCACTGCGGAAATATTCGCCCCGACACAAATCAGGCCCGCGCATTGCACGTTCTGCAAGCTGCCTCCGGCCCATCAGCATATGCTCGGACTTCGCTCAATTCCTGGACGCACTATGGGTTGAAAGACATGTTCCATGTATCCAGGACTACTGCGGTGACAGCCAGGTCGGGGGAATATCTGATCCAATTTCGCTCGTACTGGCCGTGGTCCTCCTTGGAGAAGTGCGGTCATATTTAGGCCTAGCCACTTATCTAGCATTTATTGACCTCAAATGGGGCTTTGATGTCGCAGGCCACAATGGTATGTTGTTGGGCACTTATAGGGCAGGAGTACATGGGCGCGCCTGGCTGTGGCTCGACGACGTTATGCAGCAAGACACGCAAGTTCTGGAATTACACGGGCTTCTCTCCACAACATTCGTCCTAGCGTGTGGCACGGCACAAGGGCGCCGCTTCTCTGTTCCAGCATTCAACGCCCTCCTCCGGGACCTGCGAGACGAGGTAGAGGCGGCGTGCCCGGGTGGGGCGCGAGCAACGCCGCCGGCTTGGGCCCGCGCAGCCATGCTTGAGGCCCACGCCCGGTCCCCTGCCGAGCTACTTGCCGAGGCCCCAGCAGGACGCGAAACGATCTTAGCGAAGGCGCAGCAAGTTTGTCAACAGGTGGCCGTGGCAGAGAGGAGCAGCCAGTGCCCGGTTGCGGCTGCGGCGGCAGCCCTGGCGCAACTTCCATCACTCTCAGACCGCATCGCGGTCGTCGAGAGTGCGGGCCGCCACGGATTGGTCATGCTACAGTAAATCGACGACGGGGTGGCGGCCTGCCCGTCGGTGGGGGCGACCAGGGCCATCCTGGACCAGTCCATTTCTTCTGCCACGGTGAAGTATGCTCCGAGGCATAAGGCTGCCTTCAATTTCGGCCCCGGGAAAGCCGAATGCCTGGCGGTACACGGCAGCCCCATGTTCGATTCCACTGGCATGGGATTCGACCTCGTGCTGACGCACAAGATGCTGGGTATCACCCTTGACGCGGAGCTGTCCTTCGCCCCCCACGCGAAAGCTACCATGGCCATGGGGCGCTCCTTGTTCGATGAGCTTTACCAAGCAGCGGAGGCGGGCGGGTTTCCGGTTCGTGTCCTAGCTGCCCAGGTGTTGATCAGAATTGTTCCCGCAGTGCTGGCAGGTGCTGCTGTGCTGGCCGCCGTGCCCAACATTGAGAGTGATCTCAATAGTTTGCAAGCGTACTGGGCCAGGGCCACCTTGGGCTACAGACGTGGCCCGCGGCTGAACTGGGCACTCTCGCGCCTTCAGTGCCAGTGGGACCTGAGGCTTGGAACGCTCATGATCCTGCAGGTGGTCATGGCACGCGCCAGGCTCTGGGTCCTCCCGGAGGGACACCCGGCGACGGCGATGCGGGATGCCGCGCGCCAGTCGCCGGCGCCCTCCTGGTGGCGTGCGGCTGGCCAGCTCATGGCCAGCATGCCGAACGGGCCCATTCGGGACATCAGCGCCCATGAGGGGTTCACAGAGGAGGTGGTCGCAGCCCGGTCTTCGCCAGCATCCCGAAGGTCGCTGCTACGGCGGTACCGCCAAGAGGTGGCACTGCCAGCCCTGCGCGCCTATGACCAACCATCGGTAGATGCGGCGGCTGACCGTCCATTGCCATGTCTGGGGCTACGGTTTCGCAGCCTCATGCCGGCCATGCAGCGAGGCACG